TTGCCCTCAACAATGAAAACAAGTCACTGCCTTCACAGCATGGCACTTCCACAGTCACAAAGCAGCAATGACACGCTAATTATTTTAAGGAATACTTTCTTTTTGCCCTTCTCCATTAACTTTGTTCGGCTGAGTTCCACAATTGACAAACAGCACAAGGAGGGGTAAGAAAAATGGGGTGCCTGTAATTCGAATCCTGACTCACGCACAAATTTTTCATCTCAAATTGGCTGGAGATTTCTCAGAGCACAGGAGGAGAATAAAGAAGTCTTATCATTTAGCTCATATGTTATGGACTGAATGTCCCCCCAAAACTTGTATGTTGGAGCCCTAATCCCCGATGTGATGGTATCTGGAGGTGGGGCCTTTGGGAGGGCATTAGGTTGAGACGAGGTCACGAGGGTCTCTCTGCCACGCGAGGACACAGTGAGGAGTCTGCACGCCCAGAAGAGGCCTCTCACCAGGAACCAACTGCCGGTGCCTTGATCCTGGACCCCCAGCCTCCAGAACTGTGAGAAGTAAGTGTCTGCTGTTTAAGCTCCCCCCAGTCTGTGCTCTTTTGTCACGGCAGCTTGAGCAGTGTAAAAATGTTTTCCTTAAACAACCTCCATGACCCATCAAGGAATGAAGGTCAGACAGGATATTCCAGAACACTGTGATCTTGAATACTCACGTGTCCTTTCAATCGCTTGATTCTTAAATATTTCTGAGACATCTGCCAGGTGGCAGGCACCGTGCCCAGCACTTGCAACAGTGGAAACTGGAGCGGAGTCCCTGCCTCATGGAGCTGGCATTCGGAGGGGCAAGAGGCATCCAACAATCACAGTGCAGTGAAAACAACCACATTTTGTTAGGGGTGCGGTAGCCTAACAGGGGAACCTCAGTCCTGAATGTGTGCGCTGGCTTCCCTGAGACATCAGCGCTGAGATCTGAAGGCCTCAGCACGAGCTACTGGTGACCAGGAAGGGGGCAGCGTTCAGGGCAGAGGGACCCTGCCCGGGTCAAGGCCGGCAGGCTTTGAGTGTAGAAGTCCCTGAGACTGGAGGGCGGTGATGGGGCAGGGCAGTTAGGGCTGGAGTTGACAGTAAGGAAGGCAAGGCCTAGATCACCTCATCTAAAAAAATTACAGCAATATGCGGAACGGATTGAAGGGAGATGAGAATTTAGATAAATCCTATTTTAGCTTCAATTTCTACTTCAAAATCAGACATGCTTATCAGGAAAACAAGTTCCCTATAGGAAACTTCAGATACTAAATGGATTAAGTTGGGAGCCAGCCTCCTGGAGACAGAGAGCCCTCCACGGCTGTGCACGCTCCCCCAGGCCCCTTCCGGTCACACCTCGAGAAATGGCACCTCCTCCCCTCACTCTGTACCGGCTGCTGCAGGCAGCTTAAAATGACGTTTCATCAGATGATGTGTAAAAGACCCCTTTTATCAATTCTAAAGGTCAGGATATTCACTTTTATAATGAATTTTTACCCTCACCTGGGGTTTTAGCAGCATTATATGGAACTGCTCCCTTACCCAGTGGTCCTCATCAGGCAACCTCGGCTATCCCTCGAGACAGGGAGCACCTTACAATTTAATGTGTAAACCAACAGTACAATCTCCTAACAGAAACAAGCAGCTATGAAGTCAAAAGCAGACATGAAAACTCAAAAAGTATAAACCTCTAGACCATGCAGCTCGGGGGCAAGCATGACCTGAACGCACACTATTACACAGAAATTATTGATAAGCTCAATTTACCAAGAGTTTATACTCTGTAGAGAACAGTTTATTTCATGTGAGAAAAACTTGTAAAAAACAAAACGCTTTGCAGTTAAAGCCATCTGGAAAATTAACATTTCTGGAACTCCTCTTGATCAAACAAGATGGATAAATGAAGGATTGTTCTACCTACAAAGTTATCAGAGAAGTTGCTAGGAGTCAGAGTCGTGTGCTAAATGTTTTATTAACAAAAAGACTAATAGACTAATCTACCACAAAAAAGGAAAGTGCTAGTAACTCAACCACAAGAAAAGACCAAATAGAATGGACTTAAAAAAACAACTTTATTCCAAACAGAATTACCAAAAGAAGCATGTTAACTCTGAAACATTTAACAGATTTCATTTAAACTGATATAGTCACAAAACTCAAAATATCAAACAAAATATAAACAAAAACAGCCTTGTGTGCTTAACCACTTTATAATAAAGAAACTTTAAAAAAGGAAATATGTGGAGACTACCCCACAACATGGGAGCCACTCAAGCAGATATTTAATATTAAGCAAAAATATAGCGTTAAGTACAAAAAGTCCTCAAATTTATGGACAATGCCTGTTCAAGTCTTTGATACGCATTTACATGCACATGAGAAAACAAAGATGATTATTTTAATTTAAAGGAAGTCAAGTCTGAGTGCCTCCCCCTCTCCACACGGAACCTCCCATCCCACTTTCCTCCTGACTGCACCCTCGCACCACAGCCTGTCATCCACGCAGAACCAGCGTGGGTCAACGTGATCGCTCACCAGGCTGCCCCCAGATCCCACTTCACACAGCCTGCCGACCGCCCGTCATTCCCTCGCACGTCTGCGGAGCCTCATAACTGAGTGTCACCACTGTCATCGAGCTAGGGAATTTCAGGTCTCCATATACACAATTCTGTTTATTGCACAGTCCACAATACATAGCGGGTGATTATATGAGCAACCACAAGGGAAGATGAATATTGACTATTGAGACAAAAACATCAACTTTGTCTCCAACCACAAATGAAACAAAGACACACAAATTTGCCACCATATAGAGGTTGTGTTTGCTCTGTGGTGCAGTCCTGAGGGCTCAAACCACTCTAAGTGTGTTAAATATAGAACCAAGAACATATTTCGGGTGGCATCGGCCATGAAGTACAGGAGGCGCGCCCAGACACGCCCCGTGCTCGTGAGCCGCCTGCGGCACGTATGTGACAGAAAGGCCACTTTTAAAGCTTTCCAGACAAAGTTATTCGATCATGTTTGCCTTTTCAAAACTATTACCATACTAGTTCACGATGAAGGTAAAAACAATAGCTAGAATCTCTTAATAACACATTTTGACTTATTTTAAAGTTCAGACAAAGCTGTCGGCTACCACAGGTTCTGAATTTTTTGTTACATTTAAGAAGTCTATAGGACACCACCAAACCATCCCTGGTAACGTACTTGCAGTTTGGTCTTCAAAAGGTGTAAAAAGCAACAAAGAAATCCAAAAATATTATGACCATTAAAACCATTAAAAATATTTATTGTTTTTAAACGCCACACAATGGAGACAGCAGAAACCAAAGCATCCTCCTCTGAATTCTCACTTCAGGAAAGTGCTTTAGAACTCAGATTTCTATCCGCTTCGTGGAGTGTATAGACAAAAGCAAGCCCTGCCAAGTCCATCCCAAGGGCACAAGCCCAGCCCACTGCACCTGCCACACGCTGTGCGCCGGGACGCACCCGCGAGTGTTGAGGGACACGCACACGTGAATGAGGGGTCAGGCACCGCAGTGCCTTCATCATTCATTTCTGAAACTCAACCCACTTCAAACCCTGACTCTATTCAATAAGCCAAAGGACGCTACTCACATTTATTAGGTGTCAAGTTCTTGTTTTCTGAAATCCTTACATCTACACCTGGGTTTCTAAAGTAAACTACAATTTCCAGCACAACACTGTCAAACAGAGCTGCTGTAAAGCCACTGAGCCTCTCCACTGCCTGGAGCATGCTCCACAACGCTTCCTCGTCTTTCACAGCTGGAAGAAAGGTGTTCCCTGTAGCTGACCAGCCACACTGCATTTAGAGGTAAACATCTTTTTTGGACTATCTGCCCAGAAACTGAGTCAACTACCAATTGGGACCCTGATTTTATTTTGGTCGGTATGTGCACATATTCATACGCAATTACCCAGAATGAAGAAAAACTGGTAATAAGAAACCCAACTGCTCTGCCATGTTGGATGCTGGAAATCTTAACTACATAATATTTACAGATGTGGATTTTTAGGAGATTGATAAACCACTTTTCTAGGATATTTCGTATGTTTTACTAGTTATTCAATTGGTATATGAGTCATTTTGCCTTACTTGTCTGGAAAAAACTATTTTAAAACCTGATTCCTGGAGAAGTAGGTTTCTGTTAGCTAAGGGATGAGTGTGCCATCCAGCTCTCACCAACTACTAGAATTTAAAACTAACCCTTCAAATATCTTTATTTGGATTTATTTGGCTCTTTATTTAGATCTTATCCTCTCAAATTGTCTTATTGTTTTAATGATAAAATGGTAAAATTGGGTTCCCAAAATGTAAAAATCCTAGAAGTCTCTATTTCCAAGAGAAAAATAAAAAAGACAGCTGACACTGTGGAGTGAAAGGTATCCTGAGTCGTCCCCCTCCTCCGTAACATTCAGAAACCAGAAAAAATCTGGGATCCTACAAGAGACTTCCAAAATAAAATTTTATGAAAGTAGTTGTTTAAAAGCAGAGTTTCAAGAGAACAAGATATCTGAATATGACAAACTACTACTCAAAGAAAACAACCCCAAAGCTCTTCAATAAGTTGGCAACAATAAGTCAAAGAAATGGAGCTAAACCAAATTTGATCTACATGCAATTAATATGAAACATAACAGGGTGAAATGCCTATAACAAAATTTAACTTTCCTCATCTTTTGACAATGAAATAAGTGAAATTAATGGAAGGATATTTTGGAAGGGTTGAAGGTCCCATTCAGAACTAAACAGAAAACTTCCAAGCCCAGAAAGCAAACTGGGAGCTTCCACTCGCTGCTTGAGTCGACCACGTCTAAACAAACAGTCTAGATGACAATCCCAACAGGTGCTTAGTTTCAAAACTAATACAAGCAATTTATCATGAAAAGCCTACATCTAATAAGCTGTTTTTCTTCTCTGTTCTCCTCCGTCGTCCTACCATGTATAAGTCTAACAAAGTCTACCCTTTGCATCTCCACCTAAGAGCAGAGAAGCCAGAGATGGAGTAACAGAAGTCAGCCTGAGAATTCACGGGGCCCTGACAGCCTTTTCTCTGGCTGGTCATGGCCCTTACATTTCAATCCAGAAGGTTTAAAGACTTTTGCAGGAAAAACGGTATCTTGGCTATTAGTTTCCTTGTCAAAAGCCATCAGATAGACAGCTATTAACCAAGCAATTAGCCGAAAGTTCTCAGATAACAATAAAAAAAACCAAAAAACAAAATTCCTCAAATTTTCCTACTGAAACCTTTTATTCCGAATTTGTTGGGGCTTAAGGAAAACAGCTTTGCCCATAATTCACTGTGCCCTGGACTTATGACACCAACTTGTATCGGCCAATTAGGAATGAGGCCAAACTGCACTCTTCTTAGGTCTATTCAGTTGATAAATGGCACTTAAGTGACTTCGTTCATATAATCTTTAACAAGAACTCGTAAGTCGCATTGATTATGCCCCAAGAGATGAGGGACCGATGGTAATTCAGATGGGCACCTCTGAAAAGATTCGTCAGTTTCCTGTCCCGTTCTAGCCAGATTTTTTGGAAAACTTTGGGGAAAGACTGGAATTCCCCACCAATCTGAGACTGCATGCGAGTTTTTACAACATTAACTGGGAAAAACAAGATCCCCAACACGGCACCCAACAGACCTCCACAGATAAAATCATTGACCAAGTGAGCACTGTGAGTCGTGGCGGTCGGCAGATGTTCCTTGATGGGCCCTCGAAGGCCAAAAAAAAGGACATTGCTGAATCCATTACGGAACAGGATGGGCACCAAGCCTCGATAATACTCTCTCATTCCGTGGCATTTCAGTGCCTTGAAAGCATGATAGGTGTTTGTAAATTTGTCATGATGCTTGTGGTCCTGAAGCAATGTTTGAACTCTTTCCAATGGAGTGAAAATCGCTTCTGTTGTCCCTGCCAGTATTGCTGCCATGCTGCGGGTTGCAAACTCTGGGGTACTGACATGCTTACGGAGAACGCAAGATAAATCCTCATACAGACCAAACATAAGGGCCAGTGTGGTTGTCTTCTGCATTAAGGGGGGAAGGATTCCGCGATACAAGTTTCGAAATCCATCCCTCCTCAACTGCAGGACTGCATCCCGCGTTCTGATTCCATACAGCTGTTGCCGGAAGAGGACCTTCTGAATGGGAAAGGTGATGGCAATGTTGTTGAAAGCCGCACAGCAGCCACACAAGTAATGCTTCATCTCACCAACATCTGCAATACGAGGTGATATATCCTGTTTTGAAGATGTCAGGAGTGGCGGCCTCTTTTCATGAGCTTCTGAATCCACCATGTTGCTTAAGATCTTTTTTCTTCATGAAGGATTTTTTCTAACCTACAAATAATAAAATGACAATAGGTAAACCTTCAAATACAGCGCCAAACACACGGAATTTTGCCCTAATGCTTCCTCCAATTTCTGGACACTATCGCATTTTCCCTTTTAGACGGGATCAGCAGTGCTCCAAGTGCTGACCGAGGACCCTGAGGTCCCCGAGCCCCTTCCGAGGGTCCAGGAGGTCCTCCCGTTTCCAACTACACATCTGTACGAGGCTGGATCTTCTGCACCTACTGCAACGAAAACAACTTATCACACAGACCGAATGCAGAAGCAGATATGAGACCCACTCGTCTCTTAAGCCAGACATCAAAGAGATCTGCAAAACTGTACAACACAATCTTCTCATTAAATGTTTTTTTCTTTTGGAAAATAGTTATTTTTCATGAAAATGTGTTAACATGTAATGGGTTTATCACTGCTATTTTATAGACTTTTTTTTTTATAATTTTATTTATTTTCCCCCAAAGCCCCAGTAGATAGTTGTATGTCATAGTTGCACATCCTTCTAGTTGCTGTATGTGGACGCCGCCTCAGCGCGGCCAGAGAAGCAGTGCATCGGTGCGCGCCCGGGATCCAAACCCGGGCCGCCAGCAGCAGAGCGCGTGCACTCAACCGCTAAGCCACAGGGCCGGTGCTATCACTGCTATTTTGAAGTGAATTAATAGGGCCGGGCCCAGCCCTACTGGGGCTTTGGGGGAAAAAATAAATAAATAAAATTAAAAAATAAAAATAAAAAATAAAGTGAATTAATAAATATTTTAAAATTTTTATGTCTAAGACCATGAGCATTAATCCACATAAATAAAGGCTCTTTGGGGTCCACAATAACTTTTAAGTGTAAAAGGGCCCCGAGACCAAAAAACGTGAGGACTACTGGACTAGTTCATACGCATTACCTACACTACAGTACAGTATATACCATTATCCTGTGAAACAGACTCCAAGTCCTCCCATGAGAAACGCAACAGCAAGACATGCGTTCATTTACTCTGTTCGCTAACACTTAGTATCTACTCCGAACTAGGCCCTCTGCTCAGCGCTATGATTCAAAGACAAGGAACTCGCAAGAAACAGAAGATTGCCAAGGCAGACAGGTACACCACAGTGACAGCTTCTGTGACGAACAGCTGCTGTAGGAGCACACGAGAGGGACACCAAGCGTGCACTTGGGAAGATGGACGCTGGGAGAACAGGGTCACGGAAGGCTTGCAAGTAGGTACTATACACTACATTTTCACATGTTTAATTCTCAAAACAACTCCATAAACTAAACATTTTCCCGGTTTTACAGATGGAAAAACACAATCCTCTCCCTCGTCCAGGGTCGTCAGTAACTGGAAGGGCTGGCCTCTTGAAAGGAAGCCGGTCTGACTCCAGGGCTCATGTGCCCACTACCACACCACAGATGGCAGCAACCTTGGGAGGCTGCCTGGGACTGAAGGCGGCTATACCAGACCACGCTGAAAAAGGCCTGAAGCCTCAGCATACAGGCTTCGCCCAGGAGTGGAGCCAAGGCCAAGCTCTCCCCAGCAACACACCTGCTCCCTTAACATGGCAAGACCATTCCTCGCCAGTCATCTAAGGCTGCTTTTCCCCAAAAAGGGACCCAAATAGCTGGATCATCAAGAACAAGTCCTCCACCCCAGAAACAGTCCCAGAAACTACCTTTATTCAGGCACTATGTGGTAATTTTATTGTATGGTAGATACATCAGACCAAATATTTTAAAATGGATTCTAATTCCTCAACAGTAAGAGACCACGTTTAACTCTAACAACAAAAAATTAAATAGCCTGATTAAAAATGAGCAAAGGACTTGAACAGACAATTCTCCAAAGAAGATACACAAATGGCCAACAAGCACATGAAAAGATGCTCAACATCACTCATCATCAGAGAAATGCAAATCAAAACCACAACGAGGTATCACCTCATACTCATTAGGATGGTACTACAAAAAAAAACAGAAAATAAGTGTTGGTGGGATGTGGAGAAGCTGGAATCCTTGCGTGCTGTTGGTGGGAATGTAAAATGGCCCAGTCACTATGGAAAACAGTATGGAGGTTCTTCAAAAAATTAAGAATAGAAATACCTTATGATCCAGCTATCCCATTTCTGGGTAAATATCCAAAAGACTTGAAAGCAGGGTCTCCAAGAGATATTTGCACACCCACGTTCACAGCAGCACTATTCACAACAGCCAAGAGGCAGAAGCAACCCAAGTGTCCACTGATGGACGGAAAGACACACAGAACGTGGTATACACATACAACGAATACTATGTGGCCCTAAAAAGGAAAGAAATCCTGGGGCCGGCCCAGTGGTGTAGTGGTTAAGTTCACACACTCCACTTTGATGGCCCGGGGTTCGCGGGTTCAGATTCCAGTCGAGGACCTAGGCACTACTTATCAGGCCATGCTGTAGCAGGCATCCCACAGGTAAAGTAGAGGAAGATGGGCATAGATGTTAGCCCAGGGCCAGTCTTCCTCAGCAAAAAGAGGAGGATTGGCATCAGATGTTAGCTCAGGGCCAATCTTCCTCATCAAAAAAAAAAAAAAAAGGAAGATTTGAGATCCTGTTACACACTACAACATGGATGAAACCTGAGGACATTATGCCAAGTGAAATAAGCCAGTTATAAAAGGACACTGTATGATTCCACTTACATGAGGTACCTAGAGTAGTCAAGTTCAGCAAGACACAAATTAGAACAGTGGCTGCCAGGGGCTGGGGTGGGGGAGAGGACAGGGAGTTATTGTTTAATGGGTATAGTTTCACTTCTGCAAGATGAAAAAGTTCTTGGGGGGACCAGCCCGCTGGCACAGGTGGTTAAGGGCGTGAGCTCCACGGCAGCGGCCCAGGGTTTGCCAGTTCGGATCCCAGGTGCGCACTGACACACCCCTTTTCAAGCCATGCTGTGGTGGCGTCCCATATAAAGTGGAGGAAGATGGGCATGGATGTTAGCCCAGGGCCAGTCTTCCTCAGCAAAAAAGAAGAGCACTGGCATGGATGTTACCTCAGGGCTGATCTTCCTCACAAAACAAAAAAAAAAGATGAAAAAGTTCTGGAGATCTGTTTTATAACAATATAAATACACTTAACGTTATTAACTGTACACTTCAAACCGGTTAAGATAGCAAATTTTATATGTATTTTTTACCACAATAAAAAAAAGATTACATGTAAGGGTTTCAATGGTAAATAAAGAGAAAAAGAAAACAGGGCAGATAAACCATTTAGGTCTTTAACCTATCACAAAAAAACATAAAAAACTCAAGCAAACCAAGTTTCCTTATCTTTTTTCCTCCCCACACCACACACATGCTGCCGTCAACTCTAAGCATTCAGGACAAAAGCCGCTGCAGGGAAGTGTCACCGCTGTGAAGGCAGGTCAGGTGCAGAGCCGAGGCACAGAGGGCCAGAAAGCGTCAGTTCCGAGGAGCTTCCATCTGCAGGAGCCACAGACACGTAGCGAAATACAGAGCACACACAGCTGCACTTTTCCTCCTAAGAATACAGCCTAGGGAAATACTTATTAACACAGGGTGTTCACTATACGAAAATGTAACAATCACAAGATTCAACTACAAGACAGTCACAACAGTGCTCTTAACAGAAATACTGAATAAAAATTAAATGCTCCACAGTAAGGGACGCACTGCATAAATGAAGATGTATCCATCACCTGAAAGGATATCACGTAGATAGTACAAATAAAGCAGTATTGGGGGCCGGCCCAGTGGCGTAGCAGTTAAGTTTTCGCGCTCCGCTTCGGTGGCCTGGGGTTTGCAGTTTCGGATCCTGGGCGCAGACCTACGGACGGCTCATCAAGCCATGCTGTGGAGGCATCCCACATATAAAATAGAGGAAGATGGGCACAGATGTTAGCTCAGGGCCAATCTTCCTCAGCAAGAAAAATAAAGAATAAAAATAAAATAAAGGAGTATTTAAGGTTCAGTATGTTAATTTTGAATTTTTAATGGTGTTAATGAAATTTTAGATAGTAGTGAGTCCTTTTTTTGATCAATAAAGTGTTACAGGAAAAAACCCAAAAACTAAGGAGAATATCTTTTACTGACATGGTACAATCCTGTTTTTATCAATATACATATAAAAAAGCTAAAACGGGAGGGGTGGGGTGGCTGGCCCGGTGGCGCCAGCGGTTAAGTGCACGCGCTCTGCTGCGGCGGCATGGGGTTCGCCAGTTCGGATCCCGGGCGCACACCGATGCACCGCTTGTAGAGCCATGCTGTGGCGGCGTCCCACATAAAGTAGAGGAAGGTGGCCATGGATATTAGCTCAGGGCCAGTCTTCCTCAGCAAAAGAAGAGGAGGATTGGCATCAGATGTTAGCTCAGTGCTGATCTTCCCCACAAAAAATCAAAAACAAAAACAAAATAAACAAAAAAAGCTAAAATGGGTAGTTTATATTTTCTCATTTCATAACACTATTATTTTCCTTTTCTATATATGTGTATATATATATATATATATATATATGTATATATATATACACACACATTTTTTTTTTGCAAGGAAGACCAGCCCTGGGCTAACAACCGTGCCCGTCTTCCTCCACTTTATATGGCACGCCACCAGAGCATGGCCTGACAAGCGGTGCATCGGTGAGCACCCGGGATCCAAACCCAGGCTGCCAACAGCAGAGCGCGAGCACTTAACTGCTATGCCACGGGGCCAGCCCCTCGTTTTCTATACTTTTCAAGTTAAATTTGTCTCAGTCTATTCAACTCTGCTTTCAAAGCTGGAGACACTGACCACAATGAAGGTCTAATTAGGATGACGAAAGGCCAAGAGGGACACTGATCAAAGTTCCGAAGTGACCAAAGGCAAACTGCTGCACATACACTGGCGCCCAGGCCACCACCCTGCGGGGTGAGAAGGCAAGTCGGCCGAAGAGATCGTTCCACTAGGTCCTGAAGCCACGCTGGGGATGCGGTGCGCATCGCAGTCAGGGTCCACTCGACAAGCATCAGTCCTCCTATCTGTTTCCTTCCTCCCTAAATTCTTTGTAATAAAGGTGTTTTTGTATTTGCTTCATTCAGACTTAGAGGATAACACTGTCAGGAAGACTTTCGTTTACTTTTGCAGGGAGTTTCTTGTTTGCCTGCTTCTACACTGGTCTCCCGGTACACTAAGAGAATCAAATCCAACCAACTTAGTCCACTCCTGTACCGTTCCAGGCACACCGCCCCAGGTGTCAGAGATCGCAGAGAATTCAAGACCCTGGCCTCAGGGGAGATAAGACGTGCAAATAATTAGACCACAGTGTGATAAATGCAATCACACGGTACGTACGAGGTACAAAGGCCCCACAGAGGCAGGGGTCATTCACCAGGGGTCCGGAGGGAATGACAGGGCAGGCCACAGCCTCTGGGCAGGGTTCTGAACTTGGAACAGGACTCCCAAGGCACGTAAGGGTGAAGCACATATTAACCAAAGGTGGCACAGGCTATGGTGTAGGTCCTGCACCAAAGGAGCAGCAGTATCTCGTTCTTGAGGAATGATTCAAGCACGTCCTGCAGGGCGGTAATGTGGGTGGGAGACAGATGGGTGGCACACAAGGATGGAGGAGCAGGCGAGCGCCTGTGTTAGGAGAGACCCTCAGAAAGATCCCAAGACCCTCTGACACGACTATGTACTATTTTTCTCCTTTCTCATGTGAAGCAAATGGAAACAAACGATTTTCCTTAAGTATGTTATACCAAGATCTGTGTGCCCTTTTCCTTGTAGTAAGAAGAAAATGTAACATCTGCACACTTTGGCCCAAAGCCTCTCTGTCTGGAGCTTGAGTTGGCTTGCTAACGTTTCTAGTAGAAAAGATGACCTTGCCCTCATTGAGAAGCACTGTGACTAGATTCCGTTGCAGGCCCCAAGTCTGCCCCAAGGAAGGTCACAAAAGGCGTCAGGGAACTTTGCTCCCCACTGAAAGTCACCTGGTTACTCCTATAGAACTCGACATGCCAGGGGTCCAACCTTTCACCTTCTGCCCCCATGACCAGGGGAGCCAGACCACCCGTGGGCGCCAAAACCCGTTTATCTGAAGAAACCTCACCTGTGCCGAGGGCTGCACACAGTGGGACTCGCATCTGAATGCTGCTTAGCACCATCCTGGATGGCGAATAAAGGCACAGTAAAAACTGTCCCCTGGTGTTCTGAAAATCTGTTCCACTGCAATTTAAATAAAGTAAGGCCTGGCTCAGAGAGAGGAATTATTTCTAATCTTGGCAGGTATTAAAGCAGTTAGATTATGAAGTTACCTGTATGCTCGGCCGAGAGAGGCCAGATTCCTTGGAGTTGGGCTTCTTGTAGATCCAATAAAACAACAAATAGATCATTCAAATAAAAATTCACAAAACAAATGGGTATTACTTTTTAAGAAAAATATTTACAGATTAAATTTACATATTAAAAAAGATATGGGTTTTTTTTTTTTTTGGAGAAAAATAAAGTAGTAAACCAATTAAATACATAGACATCTTCTCCCTCCAGGGACACACTCCCCGGGCTCAGATCCCCTTCATCTCTTGCCTGACTAGTGTGAGAGCCTCTTTACTAGTCACCTGACTAGTCACACTCACTCCACCACCCTCTTTACCCCCACCAACCTATCCATCCATCACTAAAAAATGCACAAAAAGAGCAAACTACTAAGTGAAACAATCAAGGTATATAACAATGCATTTTGGAATCTTCTAATAACAGCACAGAGACACCCCAGCCTTCTGAACGGCTGCACAATATTCTATCAAATGGGTGTATTATACATCATTTATTCTACCTCCTATTCATGGTCGCTGTTTGTTGTTTTTTCCTTTTTTGTTTTTTTAAAAAATGCTGCAATGGGCAACCTTGTACCTTGCTTGGGTGAACTCGCACAACCTCATCTATCTGCAGGGTGCATCTTTAGAATGGGACTGCTGGCTCCAAGAGTACCACACGTCAATTAGAGAGCTCCTCCACACTGCCCAGAAACTCACGATGACTGCATCTCCAGTAAGGGCACGGCCAGGACCGTTTCTCTACCATTCCCAGCACCAGGAACTGATATGTAATTTCTGACAATCTGATGGGTGAAAATCTCCTTCTGTCATTTAAACTTCTGAATAAAACTCAGCATTTTTCATTTAATATTGACCATTTGAATTTCTTTAACTCTAAATTTTCATGTTACCTATTTTTCTGTAGGCACCTCATTTTTTTTATTGATTTATAAAATTTCTTCATATGTGAAAAAAATCAATCCTAGCTATATTAAATTGTGACAAATACTATTCCCACTTGATATCATTTTCGTGATACTGAAATTCTTAATTTGGATATTAAATCTATCAATCTTGGCTTCTGGGCTGTGTGTCCTCCACAGAAGGCCTTCATCACTCTACAATTATAAACAAGTAATCCACTCGTCCTTCACAACTTCCCTGGCTTCATGTATCATCGGTACTGTAACCTCTCTGGAATTGCAGTGTAAGGAGTGAGGCAAAGATAAGAGATGGTCCAGTAAACTCACTGACAAACGTCCTTTCCATCACTGGCTAGCATAATCTGAACACCCACAAGCTCCTGCACTTACTTCTGCACTCCCTGCCGTTCTAATAGCCTAGTATTTCTTCTCTAGCACCAACCCGCTTTAACCTACTGTAGCATCACAACAGATTTCATTGTCTATTTGGCTTCCCCCTCTACTCTTATCAGACTTATCAGTTTGCCTGGCTCTCACACCTTTCCAAGTAAACTTTAGTGTATTTTTGTCATATTCCTCCCAAAAATCTTGTTGGTATTTTATAGGGGAAGTGACTTTATAAGTTTAAAGAATTGTCACCTGGGGGCCGGCCCCATGGCATAGTGGTTAAATGAGCACACTCCACTGCTGACAGCCCGGGTTCGGATCCTGGGCGCGCACCGATGCACTGCTTGTCAGGCCATGCCGTGGTGGCATCCCACATAAAGTGGAGGAAGATGGGCACGGATGTTAGCTCAGGGCCAGTCTTCCTCAGCAAAAAGAGGAGGACCGGCATGGATGTTAGCTCAGGGCTGATATTCCTCAAAAAAAAAAAAAAAAGAACAGTCACCTTTTCAAAATTGAACCTTACAAGGATATGGTGTCTTCCTATTTACTTGTATCTTTTTACAAACTTTAGTAGCATTTTAAAATTTTTTCATATACATCTTAAGTATTTCTTATGTCTAGGTATTAAAATACCTTTTCAGTCGCTATTAATACTTCCAATTAATTTTCTAACTGCTTTTTGTCTACATATGAAAAAGCTACCAATTCTTGTGTGTTAAAGTTAGAACCAGCCAACTTACTGAATCCTCTTACTATTTCTCAGTTTTTTGGTGGATTTGCTTCAATTCCCACTATAGTCATGCACTGCATAATGATGTTTTAGTCAACAATGGACCGCATATAAGATGGTGGTCCTATAAGATTAGTACCATACAGCCTAGGTGTATAGTAGGCTATACCGTTTAGGTTTGTGTAAGCACTGTAGGGGAGGAAGAAATTTTCCTGCACCCTTCTAGGCTCTTCTGGCTGGTCTACGAATTAAATTGACAGGAGACAGATTAACAAGAGAAAAACAAACAAGAGTTTAATAACACATACATATGGTACAAACTCAGGAAAACCAAATAACTCACCAAAATGGCCAAAGCTCTCCCCTTAAATAGCATCCTCAGCTAAACGACAGATGATGTTGGGGGTGGGGAGAGGCAGGGACTTCAAAGGGAAGGCAGGCAATTTACAGGTGGCGGAACCAGTATTTGGCCACAGAGAAATAGAACACAAAGGGGAGCCCAACAAACAGGCTTTTCTAGGTCCCTCCCTTTAGAGAGTTTTCAAACACAGGAAGGGAATATATATTAATTCCTGGTTTACTAAAGTTCAACTACCTCCACCCCTTCCCACCACCACTAAATCAGGAATCTATCTTGAACTTTGGTCAAATGCTTTTAGGAAGCTACTGAGATAATCACATGGATACTGGAGACAGAACCAGTGTAACATTTAAGAGTTATGGCTAATGGCCTCGGTTCCAAACCCTGGCTCCCCCACTTATCTACTATGTGACCTCTGGTGAGTCACTCATGTCCCTATGGCTTAGTTTCCTCATTTATGAAACAAGGATGTCACCCACCTCAGAGGCTGGCTCACTTAATTGAGTTAATACACGTGAAGCACCCAGGAGAGGGGTTTGGAGCACAGCAGGTGCTCAACAAGGATGAGCTATTATTACTGTTCTTTTCTGATGTATTTATTTTGTGTATACATTAGCATATTTCTTGGTAATTACTCTTGTAATAAGAAGATGAATCCTACTTGGCCATGGTGAAATATTTTTTTAATGTATCGTTAAATACCATTTGCTAATACTTTAAAATTTCACATCACTATTCACAACATCAAGTTTTCTATTTTAGTGCTATCTTCATGTTAAGTTCAGGTGTCAATGTTCCACTGGCCTTGTAAAAAGAATCTATTATTTTTCCTTCCTTACACTGGTGAACAATTTAAATCTTATCAAAATTATCTTTTTCTCAAAAGTTAAAAAAATTCACCTGTAACACCATCTGGGCCTGGTGTTTTGGGAGATGGTAGTTTTTTGATAAGTTTCTCAATTTCTTCCATTGTTATTGGTCTGTTAGGTTCTCTCTTCTGGAGTCAGCTGTGATAAACAGATTTCCTTAAAAAAAAAAAAAATTCTAGTTTATTTACATAGTTTTATAAAGCACTTGATGTTTTAAAAAATACTTCTGATCTTGTACACTTATATTCCCTTTTTTCTTGAGCAGGGTAGCCAGTTTACCTAATTTACATTCCTCCCGTCCCAAGAAAGAATCAGCTCTTGAGTTTACCAATTTTACTATTTTTCAGTTTTTAAATTTGCTTTTCCTCCTTATTATCTTTTTCTCCTGCTTTGTCTAGGTTTATTTTGTTCTAATTTCTTGAGTTAGATGCTTATTTTTATTTAGTCTTTATTTCATAATTTGAGTGTTTAAGGCTATGTATTTTCCTTTGAGCAAAACTTTTATTCCTTTTTAAGATACTGTCTGGAGAATTTTGGTCTAACTGGTGGTCACCTCACCACCCGTATCATGTCCTGTTTCTTTGCCATAGGGGCTTTGATTTGGGATTGTATACACCCCTGCCCAGGGCCCATGCCTGTTGTGGCTTTGTGAATCACATCACATTCGTTATTTATGAGCAGGAGAGGAACATCTCTCTCATGGTCCACAGGAAAGAGCCTACAGGGATGGATCCTGATATCCGGCAACCGTCCTCCAGTCTCAAAAGGTTCAATGACAAATACACCCTGAAGCTGACCTTCATCAGTGGGAGAACAAAACAGCAGCAGGAAGCCAAGTTCATTACTAAGTTTTCTGACCACAGTGGGACACTGGTCACGGATGCATATGAGCCTGAAATATCCAGGCTCCATGACAGTCTCGCCACAGAAAGAAAAATAAAATAGCCAATTCTAAGAGCAGCCATCTTTCTGCTGGATCATGCTAAAATATAGTGTGAGGGGGAAAGAAACAGAGAACTTAAATGTTTGATAAAGTAAGAAGCGTTAAAAATGTCCCTGTTTTGTCCTGCAATTTTAGTCCATTCTGGATAAACAGGATTTTCTAGCACAGACAGGAGAAGTTGACACTCTGACATGTAGCTACAGCCTCCTTGATCTGCTGGCTGTGTTGTTTCGATTCGCTTTCCTGGAGAAGGATTTTGCTAAAAGCCGAGCAGACGTCCCCCTTCGTGCCCAGCAGCACTTCAGTCCTTCACACAGGACAGCAGCGCCTGCAGCACTGAAGACCCAACTTCACAGTCTGCTGCTGTCTTTGTGCTCATTCCTGTTCCAACAGCTCTTTCCCGTACGTAACTCAGGAGGAAACTTCTTGTGTGTGACAGCTTTCCTTCACACACCATTTTTGTGACTGTGTATATACCTGACTTGGGGAGAACTGAGGAAAAAACACAGCTTTTTAATTTGTTTAAAATACACCCCTGCCTATCACATTTTGTGCTGTCAACCAATTAAAGCAAATGGCATTTCCAGTTAAAAAAAAAGTTCTATAGATGCTTGAGGAGAAGTTTGCAGGGTATAGAGTTTGATAATTATCGATGACTTAGTTTACTACATCCTTGTTACTGTTTCAGCTGACAGACATGAGTTTAAAAAATCAGTACTGGGCCGGCCCCGTGGCTTGGTGGTTAAGTGAGCGCGCTCCACTGCTGGCGGCCCGGGTTCGGATCCCGGGCGCGCACCGACGCGCTGCTTCTCCGGCCATGCTGAGGCCGCGTCCCACATACAGCAACTAGAAGGATGTGCAGCTATGACACACAACTATCTACTGGGGCTTTGGGGGGAAAAAATAAATAAATAAAATCTAAAAAAAAAAAAAAAAATCAGTACTACACTTGCCATTCTAAGATTCACCAACATTTAAAAAACAACTTAGTTGGGCCGGCCCCGTGGCTTAGCGGTTAAGTGCGTGCGCTCCGCTGCTGGCGGCCGGGGTTCGGATCCCGGGCGCGCACTGACGCACCGCTTCTCCGGCCATGCTGAGGCCGCGTCCCACATACAGCAACTAGAAGGATGTGCGGCTATGACATGCAACTATCTACTGGGGCTTTGGGGGGAAAAAAATAAATAAATAAAATCTTTAAAAAACAACTTAGCATAGAAATGCTTTCCTCCTCTTCCAAGTTTCAGGACTAAACAATGCTAAAATCAACAAAAATATTAAGATTAATGTATATATGATTACACAATAACACCTTGTGACAATGTAAAAAGTTTCATTTTTACATACTTACATAACAATATATTTTAAATTCTAAAGTCGCCATCTACAAGCTGTTTAACAATATATGCTCCTTGATAATACAAACCAAGTTATTTGTACATTTGAACAAAATTTTGTCCATGTTCATTTTTAATTTTTATTGGAATGGTACTTGCACTACTCTCCAAAATTTTGCAAATTAAAGTTACTTCATCTAGTTTGTCATGACTGCTTGTAATAATGGGGACTGTTATTAAACAAATAGAAAACTGTGGCTAACAGAAGTCAGCCATTTATTGACCACTGTATCGAACCATTTTAAGAAATCTTAAGAACATTACTGTACATTTAGAGTCTCAGATTTTAAAAACAGGCCTGGACACAGGAAAAAGGAATGTAATGAAATCTTCCCAGACTTCACAGATTTAAAGCTTTCCGTCTAGTTTCATCCTACACACCAGGATGGTGTGAACAGGTTCTTAATTTAGCAAACAGAAGGAAGAAGAGTGTGCTAGGTATTCTCTGGCAATGAAGTTTAGAATTTTGCATGTTTATTCTGTGAACATGGCTAAATTTAGTTGCTAAACTGATTTATTTATTTAAATTGTTTAATATGGATAATTCTTCGCAATTTATTGCAAAATTCATTTACTGTAATTTTACACGTTTACTACCTAAAACATTCAATCTATCTCAACATTAGGAAGCAAAATTAATGAAGATGACTTCCAAGCAACTGCATAAAAATATCAAACTTTTATAGCCTAAGAAAATAGTGTCAAGTCTAAACACTCACTGTAATTTACAGCCCACGTGGATCAGCACGACCCAGATGTGATCCCAGCACAAAGGCCTTTGTGCAAAAACCGGGGAGGGCCGGCCCCCGTGGCTTAGCGGTTAAGTGCGCGCGCTCCGCTGCTGGCAGCCTGGGTTCGGATCCCGGGCGAGCACCGACGCACCGCTTCTCTGGCCATGCTGAGGCCGTGTCCCACATACAGCAACTAGAAGGGTGTGCAACTACGACATACAACTATCTACTGGGGCTTTGGGGGAAAAATAAATAAATAAAATCTTAAAAAAAAAAAAAAGCAGTTTTTTTTTTTTTTAAAAACCGGGGAGAAGGCAATTGTAATTCTCAAAGGAAGTGAACTGCCAGAGTCAGCACTCACAAGATCAGTTTGGGCCCTAGTCCTAGTTCTGACACTATCTCGCTACTATACATACAAGTCAGTGTCTACATAAGTAAAAAATCCACTTCTCTAGGCTTAAACTACCAAAGAAGAGAAGAGACCAGGTAAGTCCACTCTCTTTAGAGCTAACGGCTTGCCATTTTCCCCTGAGATGCACTAAGGGTGACTCCAGATCCGAAGCGCCTAACCTGTGCTCTGGAACCACTAGCGGACCTGACCAGTCCTAGCGCCTTTTGACTTGATGGATTCCTTTCAAAGCCAAGAGCGGAGAAGGCTCGCACTACACATTTACTTTAAGGGCTTCTGTTTCACAGCTTACAGGCAGAAAAACAGAAGGTGGGAATTAAGACCAGCTGAGAACAGCTGTAAGGGGCAAAATTAAGGTTACGCCGAAGGGTAAATATAGCTGAGACATCGACATGGTCCATGCAGCTAAGCTTAATACCAAATAATTGGTACAGAGATTTACAGTGAACAAAACGACCCTCCCCCCCACCCCAAAAAAGCCTTATACAACTGAGTTTCCCACAACGCCATGCAACGCGGTGTCGCAGAATAAGCAGGGCACGGCTGAACTCACCGCTCTCCAAGCGTCCACATCCCCCACAGTGATAAGAGGGAGGGGAGGGGGCCGGACAGGCTCGCCAAGGCCCCTCCCGTCCCTGACCCTCAGGAGGCAGCGGTCCCGGAAGCCCAAACCCCGGGGGGCAGGGGCCCTTCCGTCCCAGCGCCACCAGCGCCGCTCCCCGCGCAGGCGACGCCCCGCCCCGCCCCGCGGCTCGTGCGCGTCGGGAGGCCCC